GTTTTCATTCCTTTTGATCATGACCCATACCAGGAAATGTGTTTTCTATCATGACCCTGTTACTCATCACACATATATTTGAGTATATGTATCTGTTACTTTTTATAATGAAATATAATTCAAAATATTTTTTTCTGAAAATAATTTATAACCTTCCCTCCCTGTTGTGGTTTGTATGTGAGGTACACACATCAAAAGGCTCATGTATCGAAGGCTTCATCCCCACTGGTACCACTGTTTGGAAAGGTTCTGGAAACTTTCTGAGGTAGTGCTTACCTAGAGAGGAAATAGAGTGTGGAGGGGGGTGTCCTTGGGTGTTGTATATTATCCTGGGCCCCTGTCTATCTCTCTCTGCTTCCTGATTGCCATAACTTGGACTGCTTTGCTCTCCCCACCATGAAGCATCTGAAAGCATGAGCCCAAACAAATCCTCTTTTAGGGTTGTTTATGCCAGGTGTTTCCTCCCAATGGTGCAGAACTAACACCCTCCTTATAAGGTTGAATACTATTTGTTTATACTTAAACATGTAAGTATAGCCAGACACAATTAGAAAGGATTTAATGTTGAGTCAAGATTGAAAAGACTTTCACATGCATTCTAAGTGATAAGGTAATCTTAACTATAATTGATTCAGACAAGATTAATTAATGAATTCCATACTGAATGGGAACACACACAAGTGCGTGAACAGTAGGATTTGGGAGTCACTGGGACTGCCTTGGAAATGGCCTAGCACACATGTGAAGAAATAAAACAACTAAATACAGTATGTGATTCATATTGAATTCTGGATTGGGAAGAAGATTCTGTGAAATGAATAGTTAGGATAGTTAATAGAACTTTAGTTTGGGCTGTATATTAGATAATATTATAGTATTGTTAAATTTCCTGCTTTAATAATTGTGCTATGAATGTGTGCAGCAATGTTCTTGCTATCTAGAAAACACTAGTATATTTATTTGATGGAAGACTGTAAGGAAGTTCTTTGTATTTGTATGAACATTCTTGGGGAGACAAATACCTATTCATGTAAGGCACCAATGACAAACCAAAGTAATTATTCACCCAAGCTGAGTTTGGTTAACCAGTGAATTTTTTTGGCGTAAAGAAGTTTGAGTGACTCCCATACTGCCTCATCACTGAAAATTCACTGTGATTTTCACACTCATACATGGATGATGACGTCCCTGTAGCTAAATAGATGGAGTTCCCATTGGATTTAGCCTTCCACACTAAATGGATTGTCACCTCCCAAGACCACTAGGAATGCAGAGAATTACAGCTGGGCAGCATTACATACAGCAGTCACTGAATCTCAGGTGAGGATCACTTGCAGGTAATCACAGCTGCTCAGATTAAGATGGTAATGACTGTTATGCTCTGAAGATAGCATTCCACAACAGCACTACTGTTATATCATTTAAAAATATTTTTTTCTTTTATTTTTTTGAGAATTTCATAAAACCGTATTCCCCTTATTTCACCCCTCCCAGTCCCCCTCCAGCTCCTCTCATGTCCCCCCAATTCCTCATAATTTCTTGTCCTCTTTATTATTGTTATATGTATACATATGTTTATAATATACATACACACTATCTATCTATCTATCTATCATCTATCTATCTATAGTGCTCTGAGTTCATTTAGTGATACTCATATGATAACTTCTCAGGGAGCTATTCCCTGGAGAAAACTGGTTCTTCCTCCCTCATTATCATTGATTACTTGTAGCTCTTCATCTTGAAGTGGGACCCTGTGAAATTTCCCCCATCCACATTGGCATGTTAGCTGTTTTTATCATTATAAAGACCTTGTTAGGCTACCATACCATGGAGATTTCATGGGTACAGCTTTCTTATCTTGTCTAGAAGGCATTAACTAGCAGCCGCTGTCTTGTCTGGCTCATAACATTGTTTCTTTCCCCTCTTCCACTGTGCTCCCTGAGCCTTAAGTGTAGAGGTTGCATTGTAGATGTGTCACTTAGAGCTGGGCACCTCACAGTTACTTATTCTCTGCACTTGATCAGCTGTAGAACTTTGTAGTAGTCTCCATCTGTTGTAAAATTTAGCTTCTTTGATGAATGATTAGAGCCACACTTGTCTGTGAATAGGATAGTATAAGAAATTACATTAGTTTAGGAGAATAACAGTACTAGATTCTTCTCTGGGGTCTGTAGCCTCTCCAACCATGAGTATTTGGCTATTTTAACCATGCACAGTTTTTTTCTTCTGAATTTGAAATTAAAAATATAAAAATGTCAAAAAGGAATTGTTGTCATTAAAAAAATACAAACCTGGTTCTTGTTCCTACACACTGAGTACATTTTCTGTGTGTTACCGTGTATAGTACTTTCAATATTCCATTGGATTTGATTTGTTAATATTTTAGCATACCTGTATTCATAAAGGGTGGAGTTTGCCTGTGGTATGTTTGGCTGGCTTCAGTGTCAGGTTAATGCTAGCCCCCTTAGAATGAGTTAGGAAGTGTTCCCTCCTCTTGATTGGAGATTTTAAGAAAACTTGGTAATAATTATTTTTGAAAAGTTTAGTCATATTCAATGAAGCTCTCTGGACCAAAAGTTTTCTTTGTTAGGAGATTTGTGATTAATGATTGAATCCCTTGTTGATAGATCTGTTTAGATATTCAGTTTTTTTCTTGGGTCAGTTCCTAGGAAGTTGGTTAATTTTTTGCCCTTAATAGTTCATCTAATTTCTATTGAGTAACTATATTTTTACATTGTGTAAATATGACTGATTTAGTTTTTGTCAAGTTCTACTTAAATCATACAAAATAAACCTCTGCAAAACCACTTTGTTTTATATATTTGATCTAAAATGTACTTTTCATTATAATGCTTTGAACATTTTGTTTCCATATCTTTACCGATATTTGTCACTTTTTAATTTTAACCAATTCTGGTTGGAATGTTCCAAGTGTTTTTGTTTTTAAGTTTCAAAACTTGAAAGCTGCCATCTATAAGAACAATACCAAAAATACAGCTTCAGTTTGCCATTTTGTGTCTTTCTTACTTTGTGTGTGGTGTATGTATGTATGTATGTATGTACGCTTGTGGGTATGCATTCACTTGTGTGCATGTGTGTGGCTATGAAGGCCAGAGGTCATTGTTGGGTGTCTTCCTCAGTCATTCTCCACCTTATTTTTTAGATGGTCCAGATGAACCAGAGTTCACAAATTAGCTAGACTTAGCCACACAGATCTGCCCATCTCCATAACCTCAGTTCTGGGATTCCAAAGAAGTGCTGTCATATCCAGCTTGCATTGGGCCTGGAAATCCAAACCCATCCTTGTACTTATGCAGTAAGCGCTTTACTGACTGAGCCATCTCCCCAGTTCCCTACCCCTTTTTTGAGGCAGGTCTTAACGTACCCCAGGTTGACCTAGAATTCACTATGTAACCAAGGAGGACCTTGAACTGGATCCTCCTGCCTACCTTCTGAGTGTTAGGACTACAGGGATACTACCAACTTGATTATGCAGTTCTGAAGATCAGACTCAAAGCTTCATGTATGCATGCTAGGCAAGCACTCTACCAGCTGAACTAACATCTCAGCCTTAGTCATTCGTTTGTTTTGTTCTGCATATTTTCTTGTTTTTGTTTCGTTTTGCTTTTGACAGGGTCTCCTTGTAGCCCCAGTTGGCCTAGAACTCACTATGTAGACCAGGCTAGCCTTGATCTTATAGAGATCTGCCTGCCTCTGCCTCTGCCTCTGCCTCCCAAGTGCTAGGATTAAAGGTGTGTGTCACCATGCCTGGCCTACTTTTAAATTTTTTTAAAAAATCAAGATAAGCTTGGGTCTGGAGAGATAGCTTAGTGGTTAAGAGCATTGGGGAGATGGCAGGCAGAGACAGGAGAATCCATGGAAGCGTACAGGCCAGCTAGCCTAGTGTGCATAGAGCAAACAACAAAGAGACCCTAATTCAAACAAAATGGAGGTGAGGACCAAACCCGAGGTTGTCCTCTGACCTCCACATTTACATGCACACACATGTCATACACATACAGGAATAGATTAATACAGGATTCCTGGCATCAAAGCTTACAAGAAGGACCATCTAAAGCTTGAAAGACAGTAGAGGATGGTATGCTAAGGAACTTGATAGCATAGAGATAACATTGCTTGTGCAACCTCAATGCCTATGATTCTGAGTCATTCAGAAGAGTGGAACTCTGAGTATGAAGGACTCTGAGGAATGCTATACCCAGCTTATATTTTCCCTTAACTTGTACAGCTGATACATTATTTCAAAAAGTACAGTGCCTATACAGTGCTCTTCCAGCAGTTAAAAAATAAATAAAACTCCTAAGTACTAAAAAAACATCATGTCAGGGGGTTTGACAGCATATTTTCTTTAATGACATAGAAAACAGTAGGGCTTCATATACATAATGCAATCTTCAGCTTTATCTTTAGTTTGCTTTATAGTGCAATTTACTGAGTATCAGGCTGCTTTGTACTATATGTTGATGACTTCGTAAGAACAAGTAAGGGACAGATACATTTTCAAGTGAGGATATACTACAAAGCAGCACACGGTGGCAGAGCCCAGAATATCCTGAAGCTTGGCCCAACAGCTACATATTACCTGGGGTATACAGCAAGGTTTCAGGACCTACTCTATCTAGATCTACTGAACCAAAACTCTGGAAGTGGAGCCCATCAGCCTGGGTTTTTAACAATTCCTATTGGTGATTTTGATGCAGGTTAAAGTTTGAGAATTACTGTTCTAGGCAGAATCTCAGACAAGAGAAACATACTGGTTTTTGTATTTGAATCAGGTGTATGAGCAGCTTAGAATGTATGAAAGCAGATTCTTTCATTTCAGCTCAATTATGTCTACTAACAGTGTGCTTAAGAGTATGAAGCAATTCCCCATGGTGTGCTTAGTCGACTACAAGTAAATACAGGCAGAATAATAGAATGGCCCTCGGACTGCATCTCCTTTGGTTTTGATTGCTACTTGATTTTTGTCTTTTCAGCATGATGTATCCCAGACTTTACTCAAGGCAACACTGGACAGCGTTGTAGAAGAATGTGTCAGCTTTGTGGGCGTGGATATTAACATCTGCTCAGAAGTGTTGTTAAGGTGAGACGATAAGTCTGTGGCTGATGCTCAGAGCTCTAGTCTAAGAAAAAGGGGACATATAAAGCTGTACATGCAGAAAAGTCTACAGATTTGTACTTTACTGTTGAATAAGCTCTGGGAGGAAGACACCACATGAAGGAAGGATTCTGGCCGTTCACATTCTCATCTTCCGTATCGCAGATCTGAAGGGAAGAACATATGATAACCATTGAGTGCATTAGTGTCCTAAAAGAATGTAAATAAGGTCAACATAGAAAAGAACTGTTGCCCACCACTGGAGTGTGGTTCACCACTCCAGTCTCTTGCCTGCATCTGTCAAAGCCGAAAGGAATCAAAAGATGATAGGCTCTGAAAGTTTGAAGTATTGTTGCTATATTTTTACCCCAATTTCATAGTTGTCTATCAAAATGTTACTGTCTTTTCTTCCCCCTGTGAGTATAGAAGATCTCTTTTTTCTCTTCTTTTCAGTTTGTAGTCTTGTATTGAGTGTACAAGTCTGCTGACACAGCATGAAGTTCCCTGATATGGGCATATTTCACTGCAACTGCTCGAGTGAGAAATACCCTTTCCATTTTAAGGAACTGATTTTCTACCAGAGGTAGAAAAGTTTCGTGATTTTTAAAATATTTATTATTTTTATTTTATGTGTAGGAGTGTATTGCCTGCATGTAAGTGTACCTATGTCATGCAGTACCCATGGAGGACAGAAGGGGGCATTGGATTCCTTGGAACTGGAGTTAGGGATAGTTGTTAACCACCATGTGGGTGCTGGGATTCAAACCCAGGTCTTCTGTAAGATCAGCCAGTGCTCTTAACTGCTGAGCTATCTCTCTAGCCCCAAATTTCATGATTTTGTATTTGGAATTCCATAATAGAATTAAGATTCTCTGACATAATAATCTCTAATATCAGGCAACTACCAGTGATAGTGTTTTCATAGTTTTAAACTAACTCTGACATTCATGGGGAAGTGCCTTTATATAATTCAAGATTGCACATCAATGAGACTAGGCAGACCAAAATAATAATAATAATAATAATAATATTAATAATAATAAGATGATGATGATGATGATGTAGGTCAACACAAATGTAGCGCCACTGTTTCTAAGGTGAGCAGAAGAGGATATTGCTTTCCTTGATTGGAAAGTGCAAGGCGCGTATAGAAACACCATTTGGAGCTGTTCTGCTCCTCACCTCAGTGTTCACTATTTTTTCAGCATTGTGAGCAGCAGCTAGTTTGTCACTATCTTGCATCATTGTCCTTTCCTGTCCTTTTGATTAACCTAATTTAGATATGTGAAAACATGTTTTCACAGTTGATTTTCTGATCCACGTGTTTTATGTCATCTTTTTTTTGTTTTTTTACATATGTATTTTTATTGAATTTTTGTGTATTTCATACAAAGTATCTTAATCATCTTTATACTCCCTCCCTCATCCACACCCTCTCATAGCCCCCCCCACTGGATTTCACACATTCTGTCATTTATGTTAAGGCCTATCGAGTCAAGTTAGTGTAGGCAGACGTTACACTAATGCAAGTTCAGTCACTGGGGTCTAGTCAGCCCATCTAAACCCTTAAAGATCAAATCTCCCTCACCCAGCAGTATGTCATCTTTTCAGGTGAGATCTTTTTCCCACAAGTTTTATTTCGCTTTTTTATATTTTAGGCATATTGCTGGACTCAATGCCAATAGAGCCAAAAATATTATTGAATGGCGAGAGAAAAATGGGCCCTTCGTCAACCGAGAACAGTTGAAGAAAGTAAAAGGGCTTGGTCCAAAATCCTTTCAGCAGTGTGCCGGCTTCATCAGAATCAACCAGGATTATATCCGAGCATTTTGCAGGTAAATGTAAAAGTGTACACCTCTGGTGGTATTACAAACCTCCATTCTTACCGTTACCCAGCCTGTGACTAGTGTAAATTCTAGATGTCCTGGCCTCCACTCAGTGTGTTAAGTGTGTTTTTTGCTAGGCACTGAGAGTACAGCAGTCCACAGGTCATCAAAGTACCTGCTCTCATGGAATCACATTTTAATGCTTGGAAAAGACAGTAAACCAACTAATAAGACATGTAATTTCAGATGGCAAATTCATGCTATAAAATGAAGGGATTTGGCACTGTCTTGGGGAGCTGTGCAGCTGTTTTAGATGAGGTACTTACTAAAAACTTCTTTGAGCAGAATTTTGAATGAAATGAAGAGGCAGCCCCACAGGGATTGGAGGGAAAGTAAAGAGTAAGTGTAAACAGTTCCCAGACAGGACCAACTGTGACGTGTTCAAGAAACAAGATGCAGCCAGCATGATGGCAGCACAGCAGGGGAAAGAAGGATCAGGAAGAGATGAGGTGATGCATGCCACATGGCACTGCTGACATCACACTGACCCTCAGTCACTGACTGTGTGGACTGAGTCCAGTCCTTCCCTTCTAGTCCTACTTGCCCAAAAGCAAAGAACTTGGATAAACCTCTTAGTATTATATAACTGAAACGATAGCTTTTCGGTACCTGCTACTTTGGAACTACCAGGTTCAATGATGAGTATGTTTTTCCTTTTAACAAAATTATAATAAAGGTCTTGCAAAAATAATCTTCATTCTGGAAAAGATTAAGTTAAGGGAAATTCAGCCCTGTATGATAGTAGAACACATTATAAAGCTTAGTAATAAACACAATAATTAAACAGTTTGGTTTTGATGTAGAAATAAATGGAACAGAATAGAATCTCAAATCCAGTAAAACACAGTTGGAATTTAGCTTATGATAAGGTGACATTTCATATACTAGGAGAAAATTAGTAAACTTTTCTGTAAATGCTTTTATGATAACTGTCAGGGTTTGATAAGCGCAAAGGATGCTGTCAACCTAACTCCCTATTTTCAGTAAACTCCCAAGTGGATTATAGTGTTAAGTCTCAAACATTAAACATAAGAGAACACCTAAAGAAGATGGGTAGATCTTGCAGGATGATGGGTAAGAAGAATTTCTTCCTGACTAGATTCCAAAACCCAGAAGCTGGGGCTGGAGAGATAGCTCAGCTGCTAAAGTGCCTGCTGTACAAGCGAGAGGACCCGAGTTCAGAACCCTATCTCCCATGTAAATCCAGAGTGTCTGTGCTCACCTGAAAGCCTAGTGCTGGAGGACGGGGGAGGAGGAAGGAAATTCCCTGCGGCTGGCCAAAGAAGTGGACTTTAGACTTAATAAGAAACCCTGTCAAAAAAGCAAGGCCTCTGAAAGTGCATACACATGCATGCACACGCACGCGCACACACACATACATGCACACATACACGCACAGAAGCATTCACACACACATATACACATAAAATAGCATTATTTAGGTTTATATGTATTCATATATAATTATATTTATAAACATTTGCCTAATGTTAATAAGATGTTTTACTTGTTTCTGTACTTACCATTGTCTTTAATTGATATCATTTCTCTTAAATTCATTGTTTTTCTGGAGTTTGTAAGAATTTTTTTCTGAAGTGGATGTATAATTTTTACTGAAGTTCTGACATGTCTTGAAATGTTTCTAGTTGTCCCACCTATTGAATACTAGTTTACTAGGTAGATGTTTCTAAATTCAAGACATTTTCTTCACAACTTTAAGGTTGTTCTGTTTCAGCCTCTTGTTTGTCAGGATGAAAGCTGATGCCAGTCTTGTTTGTGTCATCTTTGAAATACTCTTGTTTTGCTCTTTGAGCACCTTTGTGTGTTCTGTCTGAAGAGACAGACAGAAAGATTAGATGATTGATTGATAGATAGATAGATAGATAGATAGATAGATAGATAGATAGATAGATAAGATAGATGATAGATGATAGATAGATAAATAGATAGATGATAGATAGATAGATAGATAGATAGATAGATAGATAGATAAATTCACTCTGAAGTGTCCGGTTGATATTTCAAATGTGAGTCTTATTCTACTCAATTCATTGTGCACTCAATAGTTTCTTTTGAGAATGGGTTTTTTTCCCTCAGCTCTGAAGAATCACCTTCACCATATTCATTTTTTCTCCTAGAATGTCAGTTACACAGACTGAATCATTTAAGAGTATTTTTGGCTTCAAGTAACAGGAAACCTTGTTAATGATGGTTTAAGCAAGTGGATGTATAATTTGTATAGCAGGAAATAAGCACCTCATTAACTAAAGCCTCTTTTCTTTTCTGCCCAATCTCCCTCTTTAAATTTGTTTTGTCTTGGTTTTAAATGACTCCAGTAGTCAACACTCTGAATCTTCAGGCCAGAGTCAAGAAGTTGCCATGACAACTTCCACAGATGTTCAAGTCACAATTGAGAAGCAGGGCAAAAAGAAGAGCAAGACTGCAGCGAACATCGTACCGATGCCAAATCCTCTGGACCAGACATGTATTCATCCAGAGTCATATGACATAGCAGGCAGGTAAGTCAGAGGCCCCTGCGAGAATTCTCCGTGCCCATGATGAGTGCTGTACAGCAAATGCCTTTATGGGCATGATGGGAGCTGAAAACATGACCGTGTTTAATGTGACAGCATGTTTTAGAAGTTCCTCATTGCTGAGTTCTGCAACACATTACTTCATTTCAGTGAGGAATGAAAGAAAGCGTTATTGCTAGAGCAGTGTCAAGCCAATAAACCCTGGTCCTAAATAGGTGTGTGGGATGGAACTTGTGCTGTCTCTCCTCTGTTTGTTTTAGAAATTAGCATGACACAATTAACTAGCACCTGGCATAAGCTTGTGCTCTTCAAAAGATAAAGCATTTTTTATTGAGCTTTTTAAATTTCATACAATTCCCACTCAAATCCAGACCCCCTCCCCCATCCATGCCTCCCCCTATACCCCCACCAAACCCTATTCACTTTGAAAGTATAAACAGCCAACTCAGATTTTTAGGAAACACTGTCCTGATGATTTTTAGAGTCTGAGAAGCAATGTGCTTTTAATGAAGACACTTTAACACTGAATGATGTGGAGATGTTTTTAAGTACAAAACAAGTTTATTGTATGGCATTCAAATAAAACAATTTTTTAAAATTATTACATTTATTTGTTTGTGCATGTGGGGGGGAATGTAGTAAGAGAATGACTTAAGAGCCAGCATTCCCTTCCCTGTAGACCCGGGGGATTGAACTCAGGTTGTCAGTTTGGGTGGCCAGCACTTTTACCCTCTGATCCACCTTGCTGGCCTGAACACAACTTTTAGTTGCACATTGAATTAACTCTAAAACTTTCAATTAGTTCAAAACCTATGACTTGATACATAAGGAAAAATGTCTAAGATTCTTATTAGATTATCCAACAGTGGATTTAAACATAATGAATATTGTAACTTTCATTGACTCTAAGATGAGCTGTGAAATCATTTGTACTTCCTTATATCAGTGAATGTCATTGGTTGCTTTCTTTTAAAAATATTTACAGTCATAAAGAACTTTATACATAACTTAGAAAACAGAAAAAAGGAAGTAAAACACAATAGCCTATCAGCATCACAAGTTATCTACCCAGTATTTCACTTTGAAAATAATTGAAACATACAGAGGGTTAAAATAACCCTCTACACCTACATCTAGAGTTTAGCATATTACTATTCCTGTTTTCTATGTGTCGATCCATCTTTTCATCCAGCAGCTTATTTGGATGCATTTCAAAGAAAGCTGCAGACATCAGTATACTTCCCACTAAATTCTTCAGTGTGTGTACTGTAATTATTCTTTAGATCTTTCTTTTGAAGTAAGATTCACATAAAATTTAATTTTAAGTATACATTAGCTGATTTGGGATGAATATCTACATTGATGTAACCCAAAACTTTTTTTTAATTATTTATTTAATAACCACACAATCAGAAGCATTTCATCACAACAGCATTGATATATTCAGTAACAATTTCCAGAGCTAAGATGCATCTCCTTCAAAATTGGCTGTAAATCCTTAGGTTTACAGTTGAATTAATACAGTTAAGAGAATATTGTATTCAGTATAAACCCTATAAGACATAAAATTAAATGAGGTTTTAAACTTTAAAAAAGATCTCCATTTCACTATTAAAATATACAGTTTCCTACATTTTTAATGGTACTAACACTTAGATGTTTGTACATGTGTCTTCTCTCTGTATCTGATGATTACTAGCCACAGTCAGTTACACTTGGATCCTTAGTACCTGAGTATGGTTATAAAGTCATCAGGTAGATTTCGCTGGTAATGTTTTCACCTCCACTATTTAGCATGAAGTAATATTTATTTTTACACCCACTTCCCAGCACCCTCCCATAGCCTCCCTCCCCCAACTAGAGCCCTTATACTCTGATATCCCTGCTACTGTCTGCTGTGTTGTCCGTACCCCAGCCATTCCCCACTACTTGCCCTTCTGGTGAATCTAGTCAGCCTATCTAGAGGGCTTTATTTTAGGAAGGTCAGCTGTTCCTCATCTAGCGGTAATCATTGTCAATATTCCTTTGGATAAGATTGGGGTCTGCTGTTCATTTTCCCAGTTCTATGCTGGTTACTATCTGGGAATCCCTTTGGCTACCCTGGCCAACAACTCAAAAGAAGGTATCTCCTATCTGGCATTATTGTTTGTTATGTAGCCTTTAGCTATACATACAGACTCTTATGAAATTATATTGATCCCTTTAATCTTTGGTTATACTTTCCTTTTGGGTGTTTAAGGCCATACAGTTGGCCCCGATAAACCAATTTATTTTTACTCTTAAGGTCATTTGAGGATCTGTTCCTCGGGAGTCACATGGGCTTGGGAGGAGCCCCTGGCTCCTTTCTTTTACCAGTTCTGCCTATATGAAGATAAGTCAAAGGTCCTGTTCCACCATGGTTGGCCTCGCTTGGAAGCATGGAGGAAATGATTCCTCTGTGTTGACCCTCCTCTTTATAGACTGGACACTGGTTCAAGTCCATCTGGTGGGGTCTCCTCGGCCTCCTTGATCAAGAGGACGGGTGATCCAAAACCCAAAACTTTTAAGATAAAATGTACACATTACTTTTGTCCCAAAACATTCCCTTTTCTCCATTCAGCCCCAATGAAACCTCCAAAAAGTTTGGCAAAGATTACCTTTCCACTCCAGAACTTCTCAGAAACAGTATCAGTCAGATATTTTCACTGGAATGTGCTGGCTTGAGTGTTCTCTAGCATCATGTGGCTGCTAGATTCCACTCTTCTCAAGAAACGCTACCTCCCTATTTTATTGAGAGTTCTGTGGGAAGTGAACTGTTGTCCAAGAGTGGGTGGAATTTTATGCTGTTCTCCTAAAGATGGTGTTTCCTGAATATTGAAATAAAATTTCCCCTGTTTTTAGAATGAAGCATGTGCATATCACTGTAAGCAGCTCTATAGTGCCCACATGTGCTACTTCCTGTTTAAGAATGGAAGGAGATGTAGGAGCCAGAGTAGTGTTACCCAGAGCCAGAAGAGGCTTGTAAATAAGTGTGGGGGCCAATTATTCATTCAAATGAACACAGTGGAAGTGCTCACACCGTAGAAGATAGACTTGTACCTGAGATTTGAAGATCAACTATTTTCCTTCGGTCCTTTGAGGACTCTATTCCCATCCCTTCCGTGTGTGTTTCTGGGTACTCTCATACGCACAGGATGTTTTCACTTCCTTACTGAGGAATTCAAACTTGCTTTCAGTTTCCTCCCTCTACTGTCCCCTTCTCTTGATTTTCTTCTGTCCTTCCCTAGCAACTCCACTTCGGATTCTGTTCCCACCCTCACTTCTTCCAGGCCACTGTTGAGGACTCTGGGCCTCGGCTATCGTCTTGATCTCTGTTCTAACTGCCCTGCCTCTAACATAGGGCAGGAAATGGCAACTAAATGAATAGCATCTTTTAGCTTCATGAAATTCTAGGACGGCCTCGTGTATCTCTAATATTTCCTCTGCCTTTGCCCATTGCTTTAGCCCAGACTTCTTGTTGCTGTGATCTCATATCCCTACCCCCTAAAAGTTAAATGCAGCAAACATCTTTTATCTGACTTTCCCCTAGAAGTTCTAGCCTGTTGCTCCTCTTTTCCATTGCCAGATGGCTTAGAAGAACTGTCTGCCCCTAATTCTTACTGTTGTCCTTCTCTCCCCCATTCCTTTCAGTTTGGTTTCTACATTCCTCCTCCTTAAAATTACTCTCTCAACGAATGGCTCTGGCTGTCAAAGCCATCCTTAAAGCCACTTACCCATGCTGCCATGTTTGACACCATTAACTTACCATGAGGCTATTAGAGGGGGTTTGGTCTTAATACTTAGTGAACTCAGGGACCATAGCTAGGTTTTGAGCTGGAAAGTGCCATGATGGACGTGTCTGCCATGTTAGGAGTAGACTAAGGGGCAGTGGCAGAAGCAGGGAGATCATTAGATTAACTGTGGTAATCCAAGTCAAAGATGATGCTGAGTGAAAGATGACAGCAGCAGTGGTGAGATGTGTGCACATTCTCCATGTGTTTTGAAGATAGAGTGGTAATGTTTGCTGACAGATTAGATGAAGATCATGAAAGACAGTAACTAGCTATAAATGGCAAGGATAATATGAACATCAGGGACACTGGGACACAAAGTGGAAACTCGCTGTTAGAAAAGAGGCATTGAAGGGAGATGCTGAAAAGCTGCAGAGAGATCACTACCCCACCCGTGGGGTCTCTTCAGTCCTAGGACTTTCAGGTTTGTCACTGCATGTAGCTCCTGAATTTGTACTTTTATTCCAAACCTCGGACTATATATCCAGCTTCTGCTTCAGCAGCTCACATCCAGCATGTCTAAAGTTGAGCCCCAGGTCTTTCCCACAATCTTGCTCCAACCAGTCTTCTTCATGTCAGATAATTTCAATTCATCCTTTCAGTTTCTTAGTACAAAGCCTTGACATCATTCTTAACCTTGTGAGATACTTTCATCAAGTACTGTTAGAGACACCTTTGAACTTCACAGTGGTCACTTGCTAATTATTGGTCTCTGTTATGGTGTCTGTGAGTATACATATACCCCCTGCTTTGGTAGACTCCTTGAGAGCATAGATCACCTCTATTCATTTTCCGGTTCTTCCCGCCCTACCCCAGTGTGCTATACAGTACAAATGATGAATAAACTCATCACCAACAAAATTCACATGGTAAATATTGGAGCCATAAAGAAAAACAAGAATATATATAGAGCTACATCTCCAGACAAACATTTCTTTTCATCTCAAAATATTTTGTATATTCATTCCATCTTTTTTTGAGGCAGGGTCTCCCTGTAGCCCCAGCTGTCCTGACTCACTGTGTAGACCAGGCAGTGCTGGGACTACAGGCATGCGCCACCATGCCTGGCTGCAAGATTATATTTAAAACTTAATTAAACATCTTTTGATCTGGTCTTTAGTTCTCTGTTGTACCCCACTTATTCCCAATAGACTTGGATGCTCAGAAAATTAAGACACAGTGTAAAATAAGTAATGCATTTGAAAATTTGGCATTAGATTTGCTAAGCTCATAGCAATTAGATTAAAGGTTATTGTAGGCTATAAGCTACAGTAGGCTAAGGACAGTATGAGTCTGGTTCGAAGGTTGAAGAGATGGCTCAACGGTTAAGAGCACCTGATGCTTTTGCACAGCACCTGGGTTCATTTTCCAGTATCCATATCAGGTAGCTCACAACCACCTGCAACTCCAGTTCCAGGGGAACCAACACCCTCTTCTGGCCTCCATGGGTACCAGGCATGTACCGAGATACATGCGGGCACTCAACACATACACATAAAATAAAAATAAATAAATAATCTTTTTAAAAAGAATCTGACTTGCCACTATATCCCCAGCACCTAACAGATGGATCCTTTTTGAAAGAATAGATGACAGAAATACAGAAGGAAAGGTAGCTACATAGAAGAACACTGAGGAAAAGAAATGACATTCACAGAACAAAATGAAATGCTTAGTTTTGCTCCAGATATTTTTTGCTGTAGTCTAACCTGGCTAAGCTCAGTGCAGTTGTATAAGTGAAACTGTTGCTAGAACACACTAGGTCATCCTTTCCTGGCATCCTTGCCTTACTCACATATTGATCAAGTACCTCTTTAGCATCCCATGTGGACTAAAAAGGTTTCAGCCTCTCCTGATGGAATCCTAGTTGCATTCCCACAGAGCATTATGTTCAGTGTGTAGTAACCCTCTCAGTTTACGGATTGGAAAAGCCTTGGAAGTGGGACAGATAAGAATTTCTTTCTGGTGGTTGTTGAGAACTCATCACGTGTCCACATGACTGTTCGTTGTGCTGGGTACTCTGAGCTATGAGTAGATTTGCTGCTGTGTTGAGTTTAGGAAAGAGACCCTGGAGGGGCTTGTGTAAGGTTCTTCTCCCTTCCGTGCCTCCTCGCCTTTCCTACCATTTTGGTTGGTCTGGGAGCCAAAGCACATACCTATTTCTCCTTGTTCTTGAGTTAGGTACCAGGAGGGAGAGCTCGGGGTTGCAGATTGTGCTGAACCCTAAGTGTCTCAGTGTGACCTGGCACTCGCCCAAAGAATCTGCCCTACTAAGAATTTGATTCACTCCAGATAGTTAAGCTCCAACGCTGTTGAGCTCTCAGTTTAACTTGAAAAATGCCAGGAAATTTAATGTCAGGACTGTCACTCAGCACTCATTTTGATAAAGTATTTGTTATTTTCATTTTGGCTGTTAGGGAAAATTTTTTAAAGACTTGTTTGTAGAAAAGCTGGTGTAGCAGGAATAGGGCATGTGGTGCCATCAGTAGTGGACCAAGGTCAGTATAGCTTAGGGAGTGCTTTTTATCAGTTCAGTGATGTAATTTTGCCCCAAGGTTGTTCCCTCATTACTGCTGATGTGCCTGTTTCTGTCTCTTGCAATCAAGTAAGTGTATTTTAAGAAAGTGGTCAACTGAATTTAAAATTCAGGTCTAGGACAGGAATAATCACATAAGCTTGACACAGTCTTTCTTACAAAGAGGGAGAACATCTATACAAAAGCCAATCAATGTTTATTTTTTATTTGTTGTCAAGTTGTGTCAGGTTTTTAAGAGCAGAATGATCCCATCCAATACAAACAGTGGACAGAAGCATCCTGACTGGCACCCATGGGCTAGCAGCAGGTGGATTCAGGGAGTTCTTTGTGGGTTTTGCCTTAAGTTAAGGCAGATAGTGACAGCACTGAAGACCCTAAGCAAGGGAGCCAGCCCATGCTGTCTTCCTGCATTCCTGTTGGCTCTAGCTGCCCAGAACTCCCCTTCTAGAATTGTCTTTACAGGTTTTATGACCTTCTCATTGACCATTGCTGCCCAGCTTGGAAAGAAGCTTCTAGCTAATAAGCAGCTGTAATGCAGACAGCATAAATTGTTTTTTATTTTAAAAGCAAAAAATGGGCTGGAAAGATGGGCTCAATGGGTAAAGCGCTTGCTGTGTAAGCATGAGGACCAAGTTGAGTTTCCCAGAAGCCACACCAATGATGAGTGAGTATGGTGGTCCACTTAGAATACCAGCTTTGGCAAGAGGAGACAGCAGATCCCCAGAGGAAGCCATTTAGCGAGACTAGCCATATCAGTGAGCTCTGGATACAGCTGAGAGGCACACTGCAGTTAATAAGGTGGAGGACCACAGAGTAAAACTGACATCTGCCTCAGCCTTCCACATGCCCATACACCTCCATAAACACTTGCAGACACACATATACACATGCACATATACCACACACACACATACAAGTGATAAAATAAAAAGCAAATAGGGTGGGCATGTAGCCTTGTTGGTAGAGTGCTTGCCTAGCATGCATGAGATCTTGGGTTCTGTCCCCAGCCTGCAAAAACCAGTCATGGTGGCCCATACTATAACCCCAGCACTCAGGAGGCAGAGGATAATCCTCAGCCACATAGAGAGTTTAAGACCAACCTGGGGTACATGAAACCCTGTCTCAAAAACAAAACAAAAAAACAAAAACAAAAAAAAAATGTAGACCCATGATTGACAGAATTGATAGTCAGACACAGGCCTTGTCATTTGGCCTTTTCTGAGAAATGAGTCTTCACCACAGCAATGCCATGCCAAACAACCACTGCAGTACCCAAAATAGGTTTCTCCCCCCACCTCTTTAGATTTATTTTATTTTAAATTATGTGTATGTTTGTGGGTATGTGCAAGTCAGTGCAGGTACCCACAGAGGCCCAAAGGAGGCATCAGATTCCACTGGAACTGGAGTTCCAGGCAGATGTGAGCCATCAGATGTGAGTGCTGGGAACCAAACTCAGATCCTCTGGAAGAATAGGAAGCACTCTTAACCACTGAGCCATCTCTCCAGCCCCCAAAACAGGTTTCTCTATGGGGCGTGTGCCTAAAAGGAAATCAAACTGCAAGTGCTGTGTAGTAGACGGTGATTTCGTTCAACAGGCCTAAGAGATTATGTGCAAATTTGGAAGATCAAATTTTCTGGACTTTCCTCAAAAATTGGCAGTATTTGAACATAAAAATAAAGGCAAAATCACTGCTGGCTGTAGGAGAGTAACCTTGGATCCATATTAACTAGTTATCTTACATGAATTTCTAATGGGGCTACACAGAGACAATATTATATTGGCTTTTCATAAAATGACAAAACATCATAAAAGATTAAATCTAAAAACTAGAGATGAATAGATTACTAGAAGTGACTTTTGGTTTGTTTTTTCTAATTAGTAGTAAGATCTAAACATCTCTTTGTAATCCTCAGGAAGTTAAACTCAGCGTACTTTCAAAAGTGCCATTGCAAAAGGGGAAACGATGAAAGAGGATCCAGCTGCTAAAGAAGTGGACAGTCAGACCTGGCACTCTTAGCATTCATTGTCATATCTGATATCTCGCATGTTATTCCGACACGCAAGTGAAGTTCCTGACAAAACTAGTGGGAGGCACTGGGAAGCTGAAGGGCTGGCAGACTCCTGGGTTTGGGTGCTGGCTGTTTAACCCCCCTTCACCTTAATTTTCTTATCTGCCAAATGAGTATACTGATAGCGGTTACTCACAGGTCTAGGTGAGTTAATACCGGTAGAATACTTAGCTCCTGGGACACAGAAGTTGCTATGATAATCACTGTCATTGGGAAGGGGCTTCAGCTAAGCAGGCGAAAGTCTCTGGGACAGAGAAGGGATTGTGGCTTTACTGTGTGAACTGGGTACAATTAACACTTAGCATTGTTAATTCATATTAATATCCAGCTCCTGGGAGTGAAAAGACAAATTTCTCTCCTGTGTATCTAGAACAGCCTGCTACTACCCGGTGAAGGAGGAGAAGGAAGGAGTTGCTGGCCACTCATGAAGTTGTGCTGGCTTCAGGTTCTCCCATCATACAAGTATATGTCCTTCTCCTGTCTCCTCTTGTTCAAATTTAGACCATTCAGTCTGGAGCCTGACACTCCAGGGTATTGATTCAGTCTCCCATTACCTCCTCTCCTTCCTGACCCCAGTCTAGCTATGGATTTGAATCTCAGCCTGCCTTTAGATTCTGTGTCTCCACAAATGAGCTACTTTGACCTCCAGATGCCCCACTGTGTGATGGAGTCTCTCTGGCCTTTCAAAGGTAGCAAGAGACTTACTGAAATAACAGATGTTAATACACCTCTGCATATTTTTGGAAAGGAAGATTCCTTGACAGGTTGGCATTTGTGGTCCAAAGGCTGCTTCCTAAGGAGGAAAATTCTTTCTCCACTTGGGCTTTCTCCCAAGTCCCACTAGAGTGGTTTCATTTCAGGCCTTCCATCTCTAGCTTCGGTGCTTTTGAATACTTCTGGTTTATTTGCCCTCCTCTTTCAAATAGTCACAGGCACTAATCCACATTATGGCTTTACAGGCAGCAAATTAAATTATATTAATTCTAAACACAGCGTTTTTGAACTATATAGAGGCTGTAGCCTTTGAAAGTACTAACTTAATTTTGTCCAACCCTTACTCAGTAACTCAAAAAGAGCCAAAGTTTCTTTCAAATTTGGTTTAAAAAATAATAATAAATTGCCCCCAGGCAGTGGTCTGGGGTGCCAATTTTTATCTGCAATCTAAATCTTCTGTCTACATTGAAACTCCTCCAAAGTGAACGGGTCAGAGTGCTAATGAAGATGCAAGAGACTATAATTTGTACCTTAGCTCCAGTGGTACAGCTGTGTGACTTTGGACCACTCATGTCATCTCTCTTGAGGTTTGATTCCCTTTTCTGCAAATCTACAATAAAATATTCAGAGAATTAGATGAAATCTTTATTGAACCCTTTGAAAGTATCTGAGTGTAAAAACATGGCACATGGTAATTAAAAGTACCAGACTGGTGGAACTAATCTTCTTGGATGTTTAACAGACATACTTTGAGGCCTATACTAATTTGGTCAGAGGGACATAAAGGACAGTTTTTGCTTCTTGCCCTCCTAGGTTGACTAGTTCCAGGGGACTATAAGCATCTCTCAAAATGTCCTGTAACTCTGGTGAGTCACCTGTCCTCTTGATCAAGGAGGCCATGGAGACCCCACAAGATTGACTTGAACCAGTGTCCAGTCTACAAAGAGGAGGGTCAACACAGAGGAATCATTTCCTCCATGCTTCCAAGTGA